AGTGGGGGAGTGTAGTCCCCTCCCTTCACTTTTGGAGGTTTTATTGGGGGTCTTTTCCAAGGATTCAGTTAAAAGGTAGAAGAGAGAAGATCAATACTTTCACCAGTTCCAAGCACTCTGTTCACCGATGTTCTGGTTTGTGCTCTTGGACTTCGGCTGCATGTAGCAACGCTAGATGCTGATGTACAGCTAGCCTTTCTACTGTTGGGTCAGAGGGCTTCCCCTAGATTGAACAAAATGACCACCACCATATCGTGATCAACGGAGTGCCCTTCTTTCATGGTCACCTCTTTGGGGCAACTTCAGACCCATTTAGGATCCTCCTGGCAGGGCGAAAATGGCCATGGGGTGCGGAGCTCCACTATCCTGCAGCTGTACACTACAGTGCAAAACCAGAAGTCCTGTAAATAATATAATATTGTTATTAGTACCTGGTGTAAAAGATATTGCTTGCACATCAGTAATTGTTCGGCACAAAATCTTAATCTTTTAATGCACAGAAACATTCAAATATAACTGGTAATAAGGAAATATATTCAAATATATAATTATGTCAATCTACTACATCCTTTTTCTTAATGGATAGAGTAACTATTAAAATTCTTCTTTATTTTTTCACTAAAGAGGTTTATAAGGAATGTATGTATCTGTAACTGAATATTTTCAAAATCCTTACCAAACCACAATTACTGTAGATAAAGGAGGAAGTAAAACTGTTCCACTGGTATAATACTCGTTTGTTGAAACTATTAAATATATACTACAGAACTTTCAGAACTCATGTTTTTTTAAGCAAAGGAAGTGGGTGATGGAAAGTTGAGTTAGCCTTTATTATCTTTTATTATTTTTTTCTATACCACCTTTAATCATTCAATTCATCAGGAACTTCAATCTGCCGTGTAGAAAGCAGAAACTCATCATTCTTGAGAAACGCTAAAAAGTCAAAAGTGTAATTCATATAATAAATTATTATCATAGCTGAGAGCATGCAAATAAATTTAAAATACAAAATATGGACTCCTTATTTCTTTAATTAATCTTTTGACCTGGATTTTGCATGTAAAAAAGAAAGCAGCTTAGGCATTGCTTCACCACATTCTTACAAAACTGTAATTAAAAGTTTAGAAAGAAACTCTACATAATCCAGATTTATCATAGTACTTTACTTTTATATGAACCTGTTACCATTTTAGAATGGAAAAAATCTTCGAGAAAGAATTATTTTACACTCAAATTTGCAGCTTTCTGTGGAATTTGTTTATCATTATCATTATATCTATTTCTAGCTAAACTCTATATTACAGTATTAGTTTTGCTTGTTTAAAACTTCACTAGCTTTGAATTTATGTCTCTCCATCTTGGGCAAGAGGCATTGGAGGGTCCATGAAATCCATGTATTTCAGGTTGCCCATTCCTATTGTAAGGATAGGGCCAATACAGAGAGCCTGTTTTTCGGAGAACCTGGACTCAAAAAGTTGGCTTTTCACCTTGAGAGAATTCTATGATTCTTTGGGGATAGCCACTAATTTAAGAAAACTTCAAACTGGACAAGTGAATGGACGATGATGTGATCATCATTACATACCTGAAGCTCTGAATATCACTCTAGGAGAGAAATATGAGGCATCAGTACCAGAATATCTTGTCTGGGGTCTTCCAAAGCTTTGGTTGGGTGTTCTAATGAAAAGATACTGTACTGATACTAGGATGATTCAGCAAGCCATTTTAGGTCCATGTAAATTTAAATTTTCATAAAAGATGTAAAATAATGTGTAAGAAAAAAGACTTGCCAAGAGCAAGGGAATTGCCCACGAAAGGGTGCAGCAAAGAGAAAAACTGTTCACAGTGCAAACCAAAGAAGAGATCCTTCAAAGCCAAGTCATGCTAAATTCAATGTCGAACAGAACAGAATGGCAGAGTTGGAAGGGACCTTGTGGGTCATCTAGTCGAACCCCCTGCCCAAGCAGAAGTCCCTACACCAGTGATGGCGAACCGTTTAGAGACCGAGTGCCCAAACTGCAACCCAAACCCCACTTATTTATCATTGGATCCCGGATGGGCGTGGTCCACTGGGTAGGTATGGCCTACTGGGTGGGCGTGGCCAGCTCGACATCACTCACGTCAGGGGCACTTGTGCGGATCTGGGCAGGATCTGAGGGTCTCCGGTGGAGGGGGGGTGGGACCGGGGTGAGCGCCGGGGCATGGCCACTGGAGGAGCCTAACTGAGCCTCAGGCCATGCAGAGGGCCCCTGGAGGGTGGCATGGACTGCCTGGAGCCTGGGCAGCAGAGGTCAAGCACCCAGCTTGGCTCTTGAGCTCCCACAGCACCAGGACCCCATAGCCCTGCCTACCCTAGCCGCACTTCCCTGAGGGAGTGCCCAGCTGTGTTTACCTCCTCCTCAAGGATACTGTTTCTGTTCTTGCTCTCCTTGGCCAGGTTGCTCATGGTGGGTGCAGGAGGGCAAAGTGCGTGGGTCAGAGGGAGACCCACTCCCTCTCCATGCAAGGAGACCTGGCTTTGTAACTAAAGCATCCTCAGCGATAGGATGGGAGACCACTAGGGGATGGCAAAAGGGCAACAGGGCTGCTGGTGGCCAAGTGCTAAGGCCAACTTTCCTCAGACCCTCCCTCCGTCTTATTCCAATCTCCTTCCTTCCTTCCACCCTCCCTCCCTCCCTCCTTCCCTGCCTCCCTCCTTTTCTTTCCCATCTTCTTTCCTTCCCTTTCTTTCTTCCTGTTTCCCTCCCTCTTTCCTTCCCTCCCTCCCTCTATGCCCAGGAAGGAACAAGGGGAGGGGGAGAGGTTGGCAGTGCTTCTCTCAAAGACTAACAGAGTTGGAAGAGACCTTTGAGGTCTTTTGTCCAAGCCCCTGCACAAGCAGGGGATGTATACCATTCCAGACAATGGAATATCCAATTTCTACTTAAAAGCCTCCAGTGATGGAGCATCCACAATTTCTGGGGGGAGCGAGGATTTCTTTCCTTACCTGTCCCACTTGTTCCGAGGCTGCTTTCTGCTCAGATACGTTGCTCTTGCCAATGGCCCGACCGCCCACTTCAGCGCCCTCCCTCCCCAAGCCTCCGCGCTCCACCTGCTGCTTTGGTCAGCTGGCCTGCCGGCCCCACCTCAACACTCTGCCCACTGCTGCCTAGAATGCCCGCCCCAGGGCTGCAGGGGCTGGCCTGGCATGGGAAGGGCACGTGCCCCACCCTTCCACCACCATGCAGGGTAAGGTTGCTGCCCCCGCCTCCACCCAGATGCCCTCTCCTCTAAGCAGTTTTTTTTTACTAATCTGCCTTTCAGCTGCATTCCGTTTCTCCGTTTGCTTGTCAGCCTTTGCCGCGTGTTTGTAGGACTATCAGTAAAAAAAAAAGTTCTATCAGACTTTCTAACTTCTTGCAAGATCTCATGAGAAGTTAGAAAGTCTTATGGGACTTTTTTTTATCCCACAAATATGTGGCGAAGGCTGAGAAGCGAATGGAGAAACAGAATGCAGCTGAAAGGCAGGTTAGTTAAAAAAAACGCTTGGAGGTAAAGGCATCTGGGCAGAGGTGGGGGTGGCAACCTTACCCTGCACGGTTTTGGCAGGTGTCTGGCAGAGGGAGGGAAGCAACAGGCCCCACCCCACCCCATGCATGGAGCACCCTGCTCCCACCAGTCCCCCCACTCCCAACACCTTTTTTCCAGCTTCAACATGTCATTTCCTTGGCCACTGTGTGGGACTGAAAATAAAGTTCAATCAAGCAATTCCAACTTTGTGAGATCTTTTTTTTTCTCACAAGAAGTTGAAATTGATTGATCAAACCTTTTTTTTGCACATGGTGGCAGAGGCCTAGGACGGCGTGTGCACCCACAGAGAGGGCTCCTTGTGCCACCTGTGGCACGTATGCCATAGGTTCACCACCATGGCCCTACACCATTTCTGACAGAGGGCAGTTCAGTCTCTTCTTGAAAGCCCCCAGTGATGAAGCACTAACAACATCTGAAGGCAGTCTGTTCCATTGGTTGATTGTTTTCACTGTCAGAAAATTTCTTCTTATTCCCTAGGTTTAATCTCTCCTTGATCAGTTTCCATCTGTTATTCCTTGTCTGGCCTTCAGATGCTTTGGAAAATAGGTTGACCCCCTCTTCCCTGTGACAGCACCTCAAATATTGGAACACTGCTATCATGTCTCCCCTCGTTCTTCTCTTCACTAGACTAGCTATGTTCAGTTCCTGTAACCATTCTTTATGTTTTAGCCTCCAGTCCCCTAATCATCTTTGTTGGTCTTCTCTGCACTTTTTCTAGAGTCTCAACATCTTTTATATAGCGTGGAGACCAAAATTGGTTGCAGTATTCTAGGTGTGGTCTTACTAAAGCTTTATATAGTGGTGTTAGTACTTCACATGATCTTGATTGAATCCATCTGTTGATGCAACTTAGGATTGCATTGGCTTTTTTGGCTGCCGCATATTTAATGGATTGTCCACTATGTTGACTCATATTTAATGGATTGTCCACTATGACTCCAAATCCCTCCGACAGTTGTTGCTATTAAACCTGGTTTCACCCAATCTATACGTGTACGTTTGGTTTTTCTTACCTAAGTATAGGACTTTACTTTTCTCTATATTGAATTTCATTCTCTTAGATAGGGCCCAGTGTTCAAGTCTGTTAAGATCCCTCTGGATCTTGAGCCTATCATCTAGGGCAGACATGTCAAATTCGCGATGTCATGTGATGTCGTGCAACATATCGGGATGGTTTTGCCATTGCCAGCAATGGGGTGACTAAACTGACACTAAACTGGCAAGAATAGCCAACACCCCAGTTGTCCCACGGTGAGTTGGCCATGGCAATTTTTCCCATGGCAAATTGGCTGTGGTGAGTTGGCCGTAACAAGTTGGCCATGGCGAGTTCTCTCATTCCATTGAAGGACATCTTAAAAGCATACTGTATAATGGAATTTAGTCAAATTGATTGTTTTTATTATTTCTCTCTTTTTTTGTTATTTCTTCAGGAAGAAGTTGCAGTTCGTGATAGCCAATTTAACTTTGGTGGCTATGGGATGGGGCACTGCCTACAAGTAAAAGATGGTACCACAGTTAAAGCTACACCTCCCAATCCTCCACCACCTCTCATGCCAAAAGATTCAGATTCCATCAAAAAGAAATTTGTGGACCGTGCCAAAAGGATCGATACAATATCCCGAGCTGCTTTCCCACTTGCCTTTCTCATCTTCAACATATTTTACTGGATCACATACAAAATTATACGTCATGAGGATATTCACAAAAAATAAGTAATTCTTTGCAAGCTGGGTTTTCTACACAAAGTGACTTCCTTGTAAATAGTGAAGTGTCTTTTTTTGTCCTTGGCACTAAAGGTTTGTTGTCTTGTGATGCTAAACAACTAATGGGGAACAATAAACATTGCACAAAACAAGATACATTGATACAAGATTGCTAATTGAGAAGGTACTCTCTATGTGGTTCTTCCAGTATTCTTGCCAAGATCACATACACACAGGGCACATTTGTTCCAAGTTGTCAGTGTGTTTCAGCTGTACTTAAGGAATTCTTAAAAGCATTTATCATGGGATTGTCTGTAATGGCTGCACTGCCGTGAGTTTTAAGAGAACCATATTTTTTTCAGGGTAACACTGCTTTCCTTTAGGAAACAAGTACAGTATCTACACTACTAAGCTCTCTACTTAATGGTTAGCCCAGAATTCCTCTTTGTCAATGGTAAATTATTTCTACTAATAGGGCATTGGAAGAAGAGCTTTATACTTTAATATCTTTATGGGTGTACATTTTAATATTCTTGCTTTCTTAGAACTGAAGTCCAACTTGCAAAGGCTGTGATTAATTTCACTGCTTTCATCTACAGAAATGGCTTCTGCTATGGATAATGTTCTTGTTTTAAGAAGGTGCACTTATTTCAATTTAGTTAGTTTTTTAAATTAACTACATGCAGCATAAGGTGCCAAACCATACTTTACCTATAATAATTCTACACCATATTGTTGATTATGAACTTGTGTCCAAAAGTAGCTTAGTTTAGCATTGAATTTCTATTGCTGATCTCCTTGTAGTTGCGAGTTGATAGCTCTGTACATATGTGAGTTGATAGCTCTGTACATGACTTGTTTACAGACCTTGACTTTATATCTTTACTAAAAAAACAGGTAGGTGTCATTTTAAATACAGTATCATTAACTTACGGAAGAGTTTTAAACTATATTGTGATTTTCATAACCTATTAACCTTTTGGTGCCTGCGCTATGTGGTCTAAATCCTTGCTATGTGTTTTAAAGTACATATGAAAAGAAAACAATTTTTAAAAGCAAACATAAAATAGAGGTATTTTTGCTTACCCCGAAAAAAAAACCCAACTGTAATATTTAAAACAAAGCAAACATTAAGATTTTACATTTACGGCTTCCAGTTTTGCGCACTTGTGCAGCAGACGAGGGATCACGGGGCTCCATACCCTATGGCTGATTTCTGCCTGATAAGGGACCCTAAATGGACCTGAAGTTGCTCCGTACAGGCAACAAAGAAGGAAGGCAATCCTGCTGATTATGGAGAGACAGTGGTCGATCTGATCAGTTTGGGAAAAGCCCTCCAGAAACCAGCAGGAGAAAGACTAGCTTAACTTCAGAGTCTAGCCCAAGCTACAAACAGCTGAAGCCCAAAAGCACTACTTTAAGCTGATTGTAAACAACGTGTTTGGAACTGGGTAAGAATAGTGATTTTCTCCTATTTGAAAAATTGATTTCTGGGGGGGGGAGAAAAACCCCAAGAAGCAAAAAACTCTGAAAATGAGGAGGGGAATCTGTCCCACCCTCCTGCAGATGGAAGCGGCTAATTAAACTTTTCAGGGGAAACAGATATATACTGAAATGAAATGAATATAAGACTTAATTTGGATAAGTTTGAAATCAGTGGAAATTGTTAAGATTTTCCTTTTAAACCATGAAAATAGAAGTAAATAATAGAAGTAAACATTTGTCTATTACTGAAAAATGAACTGGTTCTGACACCTAGTGGTGGATGAAAATATGCAACAGCAGTTGCTCTATTACAGGTAAAGCCCACGAAAAGATAACTTGCTTTTGATGACCTTCAATGACTTAATAACAGAGAACAGCTGCAACAAAAAAGAAGGGAGAGAACATTTTGGGCTATTTATAAAATGAGAATTAAAAACTTTAGAAAAAAACCTGATCTTTTTGGATTACAAATACCAACTCAAGTGTGACTCTAAACCTACCTGCAGAGAAAGGAAAACCCTGATTTTTGGCTACCATGGAAAACCAGAAATCTGCAGAAAGAATATATCAAGAAAAAAAACAAATATTTTCCAGAAGGAGATCTATACTATGATGCAACAAATCCAAACAACAATGATCTCAAACCAGGAGGAAATTAAAAATAACTTGGAAAATATACATGAACACATCTCCAATATAACTTTACAATACAAAAATTCTCAAAAAAATAAAAATAGTGAGCAGAAAAAACAGACAATTGAATACGAGACAGAGAGATTTTAAGATGGATCTTAACAATACAAGGAAGTATGACTTAACCCAGATGAAAAAAAACTTACAGGATATGGAAAAGATAACCTATACTCTTAAGATCACAAAATAAGTTTGAGGACAAGAAAAAAGATTAGACAAAATGGAGAACTATGACAAATTGAGAGACAAAAAATGATAAATAAAATCAAGAAAGAAGAAGGAAGGAAGGAAGGAAGGAAAAGATTCTCAATGAATATGAAGGGGCAAAACCTTCTTATAAAAACATCTTGCCTATTTTGTCTTTTGTACCTGCAACAACACTTACAAGATTATGGGAAGATTCTTTGATTCAGCAAAGCATATTGATCAGGAAAGATGTTTGGAAAAAAAAAAGGCTAAAGTGAGAATTAAGAAATTAGGTGGTGGGATTTACCAGAGGTAATATTTAAAAATTAAACATCTGTTTGAATATGGTTAAAGAAATGGAAAGATTTTGGATATAAATGAAGATTAGTTTAAGAGGGATGGAACCCCCCCCCCCCAAGTAATACAGTATTTTTTCTTTTGTGTTTTATGTTTTGACATGAGAAATATAAAAATGTTGGGATGGTTCATATAAAATAAATGTTTTCTTTGTTTTTTTTTCTTTTTTCTTTTTAATCTATGAGAAATGTAAAAGTGTTGGGATAGCTTGTATGAGAAAAAAGACTTAAATACTTAAGTGTAATTAATTTGAGAAAATCTTATACCAGTAAGAATGCTTTGAATATTGGGGGAAAACAAATTTAAATAAGAATTTTGTAAACAGAATCTATGATGAGTCAATCAAGAGAATCTATCTATGAGTCAATCAAGATGATCAATTAGAAAAGACATTTTATATTGATGTGGTTATTATTTGCAGAAACATGAGAAAGATGTCTATATTTAATTGTCATTTATTCAAGTAATAAGAAATATATTCATTTAAGGTTGGCAAAAGAGAATATTATTGGAAGAAGAGAAAATCAAGCAAAGCCATTACATGGACTATAGAATTATAGAAATTAATTGTTATTGATTGTTTTTAAATACTAACCCAGACAACACGCTGTTTACCAAATATTAAGGTGATTATGTTAAAAATCAATAAAACATATTTTTAAAAAAAGATTTTACATTTGCTGTAAAAATTATTACAGAAAAGTTAATTGTTCAATTTTAATAAAATTAAGTGTACAATTCATTTTTGTTCATTATTCTTTCCTACTATGTAGTCCCTAAATGATGGCATCAAGTCAAGTGTAATTTTGTTATTAGGGATTTTAGTATTTAAATTATAACTTTTATGTGTTGATACCTTATAAGTCACTTGGAATCTTTGGAAATGGAATGGCATATAAATTAATCTAATAAATAAATTACTGCTTTTCTCATTAAAAAAAAATACATGTAAACCATCAGATATACAAATATACAGAAAACTTCATCCCACTATCTTACAAGAGTCTTTTTTAAGTATAAAAAAGTACAAACTCATGATTTATTTCATAGCTTATTAATTGGTATCAACATATCAAAGAATCCTGGAAATTACAACTGTTGAAAAGCTTTACTTCCTGAAATGTATACTTTAAAACTTGTTTTTCTATGGTAAGTAGGTTTATTGTTTCAGAGACATTTCCTTACTTAAACAGAGAAACAGAATGACCATGGGTAGGCAAAAAAAAAAAAAAAAAAGTGAGGATGAGAGTGTCTATGGAGATTCTCAGTTATCCAGGCCATGGTTGTCCCAAAGGTACTTTTTCAAAAGGCAAGTGGACTTTGTTTTTTCCTTGAAGACATTTTGCTTCTCATCTAAGAAGCTTCTTCAGTGAGAATGGGAATTGACCTCCAGCTTCTTGCTAATTTCCCTATTGAGTGTCCTTGTGGTAACCTGGCAGAGAGTGTTGAGCAGAGATCATGTGTGGTTCAGTGTGAACAAAGAGATGGAGTCCAGATCTCTCTTGATAAATGAAACATGTTTATTCAGCTGAACAAAGGTAGGTCCTCCAATAAGATTGGAAGAACCCTGAATGCAGTTTTTATCAAGTACATATAGATTTCTTACCAAAGGTCTCAGCATCAGCAGAGGGGACATTTACTCACTCTGGTGTTCATATTTACTTGTTCCCTCCAACTGTACAACAATAGGAAGTATGTCCTCTTGAGAAGCTTTCCCAATTACAGTGAGGAACATGGGAGATCCATTAGGGCTATCATACTATTGGAATATTATATGCTTACAATGAGTTTAAATTAAGAAATGCCATTGTATAAACAATGGCTCCAACGAAAGTAAATAAATAAGTCATGATGTAGCAAAACCCTTGTAAAGGAAGATATATATCCTACGCATAGAAAAACATATCTGTTTTACCTCTAGATAAAGATATATCTCTTTAACTATAAAGTGGCACCTGCTTTAATTCTAAGGAAACTTTTCTTTGTAATTAACTAATGTATTCCATTCCATTAAAAATGTTTGGCTAAATCTCTAAACTACAAAACTCTATAAAAATGGAGACAAGGGGCCGTTCTTTACATCTCCCATCCAAGGCTACTTGATAACTTTGGATTGAATAAATATTTTCTCTGAACTCCACTGATCATCCAGTGAATTTTATATATGTATGTATGTATTATATCTTATTTTATTATTTAATTTTTAATTCTGGTCTGTGACTGTAATAAAAGTTTGATTGATTGATATGGAATACTCGGCTTAGAAACAGACTAGAGAAAAGGAGTCTGATGCATCTCTCAAAGAATTTTAAAACAAAATGCATATGTGATAGAAAGAGTATCCTCTCTAGGGTGCAAAATTCTGGATGTTAAGAATTTTTAGTATTTCTTTTATAATACTTTTGCAGCTCAGGTATGTCAGGTATTGCCATTAACGGGCAATTACAAATTGGGAATCTTTCATTTGAAAACACAAAAAGGATTCCCAGAACTAAAGAAAAGGAAATATAATTATTCTGAGAAACCCAGCTATGCAAGCACTCTTGAGACAACTGGCCTTTTAGCTAATCCTCAATTTACGACCATTCATTTAACAACAGTTCAAAAATATTGGCCTTGGAAAAAATTACTTACAACCTATACAACTGTCACACCACTTCCATGTCATGTGATCACAATTGTGGCACTTGGCAACTGGCTCACATTAATAACCGGTTGTGGAGGGTGGGAAGGAGTCTTCAACAGCTTGATTTTGATGCACCCAGTTTGACTTCTTCTGACCCTTTCATTGTGGCTTCTCTGCTTAGAGGTGGTGGCTGTGGTGCTCTTCATCAAAGGAACTGATGCCAGACACTCAGTTGCTTGGTGCCCTTGCTGGCCACACTGGTAGCACTTAATAGGGACCCCAGTTGGTACTCTGGGGGCACTGGCCATGGAAGTTGCTGCTGGATGCCATCTGAACTGATGTCTCTCCTGACTGCGTCTTGGCTTTGATTCACCAGCACTGGGTTTCTTTTTTTTTTTATTGAAAATTTTTAAAATTTTTACAAATAAAGAAAAAGGAAAAAAAAACAACCCTACCCAACCCACCCCAACCCTCCCACTCCATCCCCCCAACCTTCCCAGAGCTGAATATAGGCTTAATTAGAATTTCTACAAATCTTTAAAAAAAAAAAAATTTAAAAGTATAGACCATAGATAAATCAAAATACATTACATAACAATTTATAAAATAATTAACAATAATATATAAGTAAAAAAAACCTAAATATTAAAAGAAAAAAAAACTTAAAAGAAAAAAGAGTAAAAAAGAAAAGAAAGAAGAAAAGAGATATAAAAAGATAAAATAAAAGTGGAAATTATATGGAAAGAGAAAAAAGAAAAGGGATTTAATCTATAAAATATTAAAATTTATATATAAGTTATTGAAAAACTAAGTAATATTTTTTTATATCCAACTTATGTTGTATAAAATCTATCCATTTTTCCCATACCGTAAAAAACTTCTCTTGCGATTGGTCCTTTAAGAAAGCCGAAATCTTTGCCATTTCCGCCAGATAAGAAACTTTAAAAAACCACTCTTGCAGGGTAGGCAGAGATTCCTTCTTCCAATATTGCCCTACTAACAACCTTGTGGCTGTAATTAAATTTAACATCAGTATAACCTCCTTAGTATCACAATCAGTAACGATACCTAACAAAAACAATTGTAGAGTAAATTTTACCCTCCTTCTAAAAATTCTTTGAATATTCCACCATATCTTAATCCAAAAAGCTTTTATATTTTTACATGACCACCAAATATGATAATAAGTAGCATCCAAACAATCACATCTCCAACGTTTAGGCTGTAAGTCAGGATACATACGAGACATTTTTTGTGGATCAAGGTGCCATCTATAAAACATTTTGTAAAAATTCTCCCTTAAGTTCTGGGCCAGCACTGGGTTTCTTGTAGCGACCCAGTTCAATATCAATAATCACTGCCATTCTATACCACTTGCAAAGCTGTTCTGGGATTCCCCCATAGGTGCAGGCGTTGAACAGTTCATGGTCTAATCCTTCCTTGAAGTGGTGGATGAGAGATCATTCTGGCCACTGCCTTAATCCGCCAGTGGTCCTTCAGAACTCTCAAACAAATTCTTTCACCAGTCAGCCCCTCTGTTTCAGATTGTGGATCTCTATCTCTATTTTCAGGACTTGCAAGTTATCATCAAATCTGGCTCTCAGTTCCTCCAGGAAAAGGTTTATGTTTCCCAGTTCCAGTGCATCTTCATCATGAAGGCTGGTCATCCATTCCGCTGCTTCCTCCTCAAAGTTTGCGGCTATCACGTTCACTATCACCCTCTTGTCAGGGTAGCAATAATGTAGCAATCCAGGTGAGCTCACACCTAATTCAAGAAGAAAGGCAGCTTGTCTGGGTCCCCATCAAAAGTAGCCTTGATTGGCAAAGGGTCCACTGGGGGTGGAGTGCCCAGTACACCAGGCACCATCCGTGCTGTTGGTACTGAGCTTGTGGGTGATGTTGAGCCCACCTCTGGAATCATCTCGGTTGACCCATGGGGATTGCTGCTTGCCAACAGCAGGAAGGGCTTGGCCTTGGCCCTGCGCTTGATGCTGCTGCTGATCTGGGGAGTGGTGAAGTTGCACGGGCCATTATAATCAGGCTTGGGGTTTGCTGGACAGGGAGTGGCTGCGTGGCATTGGCTTCAGTTCCAGTTGAGACATTGTACCATGGAACCGGGGCAGCCCCCCTGACTTCCAGCCAGTTGAACTTCTCCTTCAGTTTCTAGACTGAAAGCCCATGGATCGCCGTCAAGTATTTCCATACTCCCGACTCAACTCCACTCGCTGGTCTTTTCACCTTCTATTTAGGTGTGAAGGATGAAGAGTTATAGGAAGAAATCAAGGGGAATTCGGCTTCGGCTGCCTTAGGAATGCACCTATGTTGGAGCTCTCCCTCTGTTCAGTACAGGTCTCTGGTAGCCAGTAAAGCCTCCTGAAGTGATGACCGGTCAGGCTTGTTGACCCAGAACTTCAGGCAAACTCCAGACAGTGGAATTC